CCGGTGCCCACCAGCCGCGCCAGGGAGGGCTAAGGCCTAAGGGGACGTGTCCACGCGTCCACGCATCCCTGCGCGAATCGCCGGCTCCCGCCCACGTCGTCCGGCCCAGAGAAGAGGCTGCTCGCAGCAGACAGCTGTCGCCTCAGCGGTCACCTCGACACCTGCGTCGGGACAGCGGAGCGGAGGGAACAGCGGCGCTGTGCACGAGCAGCGGACCGGAGGGGCCGGGCGGGGGCCACTGTGTCACTGCGCCGGCAGGAGGCCCGTGAGGCTCTGGACCGGTCACCTCGGGCCAGGGGCCCTGGGCCCGCCCCTCCCCAGGGTTGTGGAGCAAGCTGCAGGGCCGCCCAACAGCCGCTGCCCTGTCCGGCGTGTGCACCAGGGAGGGGCAGCGGCCACTCCTGCTCCTGCCCCAGCACACCCCGCCTGGGCCCCAGCGGGGCCTGGCCCTGGCCGGCCCCTGCGGGACGGCGCTCTGGGGGCCGGGTGGTGTGGAGACGGGCGGGGCTCCCCAGGAGGCTGCGAGCCAGGCCCTGCCCCGAGCCTGAGCCGCCGCCCAGAGCCGGGCACGTGCCCGGGGCACGGCGGGTCTCACACCTGACCACAAGCCCCGTCACCACCTGGACCTGCGGGCTCGCGCCGGACCCTGCGGGCCTCCAGGGGGGCCTCTAGACTTTCTGGAGGCGGAAGGGGCTAGGACGTGGGGAGGGTCTGAGGGCGGCCTGGGAACTGGGGAGCAGGAGGAGCTACCGCCCCCCCCCCGCCCCTGCAGGCCCCATGGCGCCCCTAGGCCCGCGCTCGGGCCTGTTCTGTGCTCACTGCCCGGGCAGTCACCTTTGTGGCCCTGACCCCCGCTGCCCCTCGGCCTGGCTTACCACCACGAGGCCTCAGGCCCTCCACCTGGCCTCTCTCCTGCCTGGGTACTTCCTCCCCCGCCCCCGGCCCCGCCTCCCTGAGCCCCGCTGGGGCCCCTCTGTCTGCACCCCTGAGTCCCTTATCCTGGCCTCACAGAAGTGAGTGTCCCCTCAGCTCTGCACCCAGGATGCTGCCCCGGGAGGGGGAGAGTGGGCCGGGCTGGTGCGGCGGCACTGGCGGAGGATGGACGGTGGCTTCTAGGCCACCGGGGGCTGGCGCACGGGCCCTCCTGCCCCCACAGACCCCGCAGCCCGCCCCAGAGCCCAGCCAGGAGGCCCCAGGGCTACCAGTGGTTGGGCCACCTCTGTCCCGGCTGCCCCCACAGCTGGCCCTGGGCGTGCACAGGCCTCCCCTCCTCCTGGCCGGGCGGGGCGGGCCCCCGGGGCCTGGAGAGAAGGTTTCCAAGGGGCCCCTTAGCCCAGGGGCCTTGCCTGGGGCCTCGTGGAGTCTGCCTGGGCCGAGGGGTGCCAGCGCCGAGCCCCCAGCACAGGACCCAGCCCCCTCCTGTCCCCTCTCCTGTCCCTGCCATGTCCCGAAAGCTCCCAGACCTGCCCTG